TATCAAAACATCTTTTTCCAAACATACCTATCAACATCCTGGAAATATGACTTAGCAATATATTGAGGTTCCATACCCTTGACAAGGCAAATGCACAAACTTTTAAACCAAAACAACTTTACCAACTTTTAAATAAATTTGTGACTTCCACTCCTACTCCTTTACAAAAAATCATTGTTGTTGCCTGCTGGATCGAAAAGCGAAAGAGCGCCCTCGCCCCTTCCGTGAGACCTGCACAAACTTACCAGGAGTCTGCAGTCAGAACACGACGCCGTATTCATATTGAAAAAGGGCATAGCGTATAGAAGAGTAGCGACTAGCGTCTCACTGACCTTAGGCCAAAATATTTCACTTGATGACATCCACGCAACGCAAGGCCAATGCAGTGTAGATAGGCATATCAATATAGAAATAATATGTCCAAATATGTCTTTGCCGCGTCATAGTTGTAACGCACTGCGGGGAACTCCAGAGATCTGATTGGCTAATATTAGCCAATCAGTAGCATATGTTACTGGAAACTGTCATAGTGGAAGTAAATTGGTAGCTGTTTCAGCTACCAAACTGATGAAGGAAATAGGTAAAATTGCTTATTTTACACGAACACCTGTCATACGCTAATCAAAGTAGAGCTAATGAAAATGGCATTATCCCACAAAGGAAAGCCAATTTGCCACGTAAGCCACCATGAATAGATTTGCTGAGCTTGTTATCACGTGTTTTTAACAAAAACAGTCAATGAAATAATGTAATTTACGAATTTCTAGCACTCACATGCATATTCTCGTCTGCACACCGAATTGCGTCCAGGATATTGGCCATGGCGTATTTCTCGGGAACCCTCTGTTAGTGGAAATTCCACTATCTGGCAACTAGCCCTATGTAAACGCGGCTACTGGCTAGCTACGCGAAAAGGGTCAATTAACATCACTGGCTAGTGGCTGTCACACTTCACTGAGAGTAGCTCGGTCTGAGAACAATGGACTCTTGATGGTGAGAGCCCATGCCGAAATTAAAGTTAATGGGCGGGGCGGACGGTTTCCGGCTATACGTGGAAAGGTTAATTTCCTAGGATTTTGCGGCGCCTCACAGCTTCCCGGTTGAGGGTTAGGTTAGAATAGGTATGGCATTTAATGGCCTAGACACTGGATAGGCATATAATTTATAGACAGAGGAAGTTAGCAATTTATGTAGGCAATCATTAGCAATAACCTAAAAAGGACAGAAATGCTTCAATATACTTCAATATGCCTGAGAGATATGTAATTCATCAAAAGGATAGGTGCGCCCCGGCCCAATAGAAATTAATAACACGTTTGCTTACAGATTGCTATCAGCCGGATGCAGGCATGAAGAGGCGCCATGCAACTCTACTAAATCCTCAGCATGACCAACCGATAGACCACGACGTAAAATAGCCAACAGGTCATCTGCTGGTCAGTCCCTTCAATGGGCTTTTCAGATCGTTTCTGTCACCGGTAAATCAACGTAATCGAAAACAACTCACCCCAAGGAAGTGTGCACTGCGCACTTGCATAGCATTTATGCACCAACCCTACACAACCAGCGCAACGATTGATGAGTTTGTAGCGTAAACGGCACCAGTAGGACGTTGATAAACTACCACACATTCCTTGGCATCTAAAGGGAAAGCACATATTCAGTGTTTAGGTGACGTTCGTAGGTGTGTACGTACATACCCGAACTTGACGATTACCATAAAGCATGACGCAGAGGCCCATAAGTCTACCATCCATCAACAATGACGACCCAAGAAGATCTCTAGCGATACGGGGTTTAGCTGTGCGGGAATTTCGCACCATTCGCCTCTAGATCGAAGAAGCGTTATGAAACATTGTTGAAAACCAGGGTAGTTATCGAAGACGTCATGTCCTGGACTGTCCCAGTCAGCGCCGACTCTTCAGGGGTCCCGGTCATCCGTCCCTCCCCTCCGGCCCTCCCCCCCCCCCCGGCACGTCCATCGCAGATCAGTATCAGTGGTTCCGCCACAAACCGTGCAGCAGCCGGCGGCGCCACAACAAGGGCAGCGGCCAGCGTGAAGAGACACTCAGTGATGTCACTCAAGGCCAGGGCGATTGAGAGGAGCCGTATAAAACAGATGTCGGCCATAGCGGCTAATTTGCAGTGTGCTAAGTGGTGTCATATAAAGATGCTATCGCATACTGCCGTGACTTCCTTGTCATTGGGATTTCAATGCAGCAGTGTGACTGGCATGTGCAAGTGCTATGCCAAGTGTAAATGGTACAGTACAGGTAGAAGCGGCAGAATCACCAAAAGCTAGCAGAAAATCGCCCAATGCTACGGCAACGTATATTATAGAAGTGACCAGCGAAACATCGCGATTGTAAGGCATATACCGACATTTGCTCATGCCTTTTAAAGTAAATTGCAATATGGAATTTTGACGGATGTTCGTGTTATAAGCATCTGCATTAGGGGAGTAAAATAATGAGTTTGCTTGAGTTTCAGAAAACACAATGGATAATGAGCTCTGTCAGTCAATGACAAAGGTGGATCCACGGGATGGTGCCCTCTCGGTACTTTTTGCCTCTCCTGAGCTCAGAAATTGACAAAATATTTTTCCTCGCAAGAAAGTGAAAGAACACTTTAAACAGCTGTTTTTGACAAGCATAGGCCCTATAGAAGCACACAAGGAAGCGAAATTCAAGGAGATTTCAAATGTGCTTTTTTAGATACATGCGCCCGCAGCGCTTCAAACCTTGAGGCTAGTGATATCAGTGTAAGTAACCACATGCCGACTATACCCAGTCTCAAGAATAACACATTACATATATCGTACTGAAATGTTTGTTTGCAAACAAGAAACGGCTAGTTTATTGCAGTCACTTGGATTTATGAGGCTCCAACCTATGCTTACTCTGCAAACATGCATCTTTCCTGGCCGTTGCATGGTTGTCGTTACGAGTTGAAAACACCATTTGAGCTCGCAGCACTGCAAAGATCCGCACACATTTGGATAGTTATGGTCTCAAGAACAACACAATAAATACGTCGGGACTGCACTTCCTATATCTGCACAGAGGTTTCATAATGAATGACATTGGTACATGCAATGCATTATGCATGCATAATTATAGCTAAACATCACATTTCGACAGCCTTTTTGTGATCCTGTTGGTCTACTGAGACAACCGGAGAGCCATGGGACGAGAGAATAGGGATGGAGATGTAAGGCTTAGTCGACTACCGATTGGTGCACCACAGCTGCTCAGCCCGTCCCGTTGGGTCGGGAGAGGGCCACCCAGCCACTCGAACGGTTACTCAAAGGTCAAGGGTTTGATCCCATCGGATCTGCCATCACCAGTTTCTGCAGTGATAACGAACAACCGGGACGGGGATGTGTAGGTATGTAATAAAGGAAACAAAAGCTGGTCCTGAAAGATAACGAGTTTGTTTGTGGTCAAGACCTGAATGACAACTGTGGTGACGTAGCCCTTTGCCCTCTGAACTTTGTGCAGTAGACTAGGTGGCGCTGAGCTCGTTGCGCTTGTGGGTACGGTGCGGCCGTGCAGCAGTCGGGCAGCGGCCCCCGCCGGATACCGATCACCAATACAGGACTACGTTATTCAGAACGCTGTGTGAGATCGCGGACCGAGATCGCGGACCCGGAAGCTGGAACGAACTCAGCCGCGGATACTAGCGGCGCAACAACTTGGCGACGAGGATGAGATTCGCTTAGTGGTGATCTCGGAAGGAAAAGTGGCGTTCTCACGGATTTGGCGTTCTGGTGGTGCGGCACCGGTGGCCGACGCGGATATACGTCACTGGGAAGTGACAGCGTCGGGACTCGGACAAACTCCTTTGGCGTGCTGGATGGTGCAGTGCGCGGCGGTCGGCGCGGATGTACATCACGGTGAAGTGATAGCGTCGTGCCGGGTGATATTGCTTAGTGCTTAGTTCTGCTTAGTGCTTAGTATTTTTTTTTTATACTGCTGCATAATTTTGTGCATTAACGCTGTCTAAACATGGCGGCCGGACTGCCGAGCGTGGCTCCTTTTGCAAAGGGGATGGACTTTAGCCGGTGGCTGAAGGGTCTGGAATTCTACGCCGAGGCGATGGACATAACAGACGACCGGCGGCGGACTGCAGTCCTGCTCCATCTAATGGGGCCGGATATCCAGGACGTGTTCGACACCCTGCCGGAGCCGACCGCGGCTGCAACGGCTGCAACGTCACAATACGACACCGCTGTGGCTAAACTACGCCAATATCTGCAGCCGACGTCTAACCTTATGGCGGAACGTGTAACGTTCCACCGCACGAGCATGTACGCCGGCGAGTCATTCGATACGTACCTGGCTCGTTTGCGGGCGGTGGCTGGGCGGTGCGGGTTCCCGGCGGCTGACCTCGACCGTGAGCTCCGGGACAGGAGCGTGGCCGGCGCGACTCCACAAATTCAGGAGCGACTGTTGCAGACGGTCGGAACCAAAGGAGACAACTTTTCACTGCAAGATCTCCAGGCTACGGCTCGTGCATACGAGCAAACGCAAATGCTAGTGACGCAGTTCCGTAATGCGTCTCTGAGCACGGACGGCGTCGGACGGTCAACCACCGCATTGGACGAGCGGCCAGAGGTCGATGTGGTGACCTCGGGACCGGATCAGCTGAACGCTGTCCGGCCACAGCGCACAGCTGGCGGTAACCGGAACCGCCAGCGGCGCATGGTCCGCTGCTACCGCTGCGGTGCGGCGGGACATTTCCAGCGGGACTGTCAGGAGAGCCGACGCCCGGATGAGTCAGCGCGTGCGGCACCAGCGTCACGGCGGCCGACGGGGCCGGGGCGCCGGGAATCTGACACTCGTGGGTCCGACGGGGTCAGACCGGCACCGGAGACGCGGCGGTGCTACCGCTGCAAGCAGATCGGACATCTGCGCAGTCAATGCCGACAGCAGCCTGCCACGGCGGACATGTGGGGGCTGGGGCAGATAAACGCTGTTAACCTAACGGAGGCGGTTAAAATGACTTTACCGGTGAACGGGGTGGCCATCAAAATGGTGGTGGACACCGGCAGCCCTATCACTGCTGTGGGGCGGGACACGGTCATCCCGCGGCTGCGACTGAAACCTACTCAGCTGCAGCTGTCGTCATTCACTGGTCACCGGATCCCTCTCCGGGGTGAGGCAGACGTCTCTGTAAGGTTTCGCGGTCGGGACCATCGACTGCGACTGGTCGTGGTGGACCTGCCTGGCGATCGCCGTCTGCTAGGCCGCGACTGGCTGCGGGCTCTGGACATCAGTGTGGGCGGCGGAGAGACGGCGGTGATGGACGTCACTCCGGACCGAGGGACGGCGGATCTGGAGGCGGTCTGTAACAGGCACAAGTCGGTGTTTGACGGCACACCGGGGCGCATCAGTGGAGTAAAGGCGCACCTGACACTGAAACCGGATGCACGGCCGGTGTCACGGCCGGTGCGCTCGCCTCCATATGCACTGAAACCGGCCGTCGAGCAGGAGCTCGACCGCTGGGTGCAGGCCGGGATCGCGGAAAAAGTCGGTCCAAACGACGCGCCCGGCTGGGGAACACCACTGGTGACGGTGCCACGGGCTGATGGCGGTGTGCGTCTGTGCGGTGATTATCGACTGACGGTAAACCCGCAGCTGCAAATGGCGACGCATCCTACGCCATCCGCCGAGGACATCTTTGCGAGCGTCCGAGGACGGCGGTTCTGCAAACTGGACCTGAAAGACGCCTTCCTGCAGCTGGAGCTCGCGGAGGAATCGCGGGATATGACAACAGTCGTCACGCACCGAGGACGGTATCGGATGAAATCCCTACCGTTCGGCATATCGGCGTGCAGTTCGGTGTTTCAGGCCGCAATCGATCACATCCTGGATGGCATAGACGGGTGTGTGGCCTATCAAGACGATCTGCTGGTGACGGCGGCGAACATGACGGACCTGTGCGAACGCTTGGATGAAGTGCTAACTCGGCTGGAAGCTCATGGAGTGAAGCTGAAACGGGAGAAGTGTCAACTTGGACTCGACGAGGTGCAGTACCTCGGCTGGCGCATCTCAGCACAGGGGCTGCGTCCAGTACAGGAGAAAGTTGACGCAGTGATCGACATGCCGGACCCTAAGGATGTGAAAAGTCTGCGCAGCATCTTGGGGAGCATCAACTACTACCAGCGCGTGCTTCCCAACCTCTCCACGGAACTAGCGCCGCTGTACGATCTCTTACAGAAGGGCGCCACGTGGAAATGGACTAATGTGCACAAAAACGCACTGGTCAGAGTGCGAAAACTGCTGGCAGGGGACACAGTCCTAAAGCGGTACGATGCAGAGGCGCCGCTCAAGCTCGTCACAGATAGCAGTGAAGTCGGCGTGGGAGCCGTGCTTCTGCAGCCTGACGAGGAAGGACTGGAGCGTCCGGTGATGTACGCCTCTCGGACACTCACAAAAACGGAAAGGAAGTATCCGATGGTAGAGAAGGAGACGCTGGCGGTGTCCTTCGCTGTCAAGCGCTTCGGTCAGTTTCTCTACGGCCGGAGATGGACCCTGGTCACGGACAACAGGGCGCTGTCGCGCATCTTAAGTCCGGAGCGCGAGCTGCCAACGCTGGCTGCGGCCAGGCTCCAGCGGTATGCGCTGCAGCTCGCGGCTTTCACCTACGATGTGGAGCTACGTCCATCAGAAGACATGCACCTGGCGGACAGTCTGTCTCGTATGGCAGTGCCAGGCGGAGAGGTCGAGCCAGCGGACGCTGAGGACGACACCAGCGGCGGCTCGTATCTGCTGTTCATGGACGGAGTAGCTCCGGTTCTGACGGCCAAACAACTCGCGGCGGCGACACGCCGCGATCGGGTACTGTCGCGCGTCCTGACGTACGTGCACAGTGGGTGGCCCGGACAGGTGGAGCAGGAGCTGGCCCCGTTCCGTCAGAGGCGGGATGAGCTCTCCACGGACCTGGGATGTCTGCTCTGGGGTGGCAGGACGGTGGTTCCCCACTGCCTTCGGCAACAGGTGCTGGCAGAGCTGCACCAAGGTCACCTGGGCAGCGCCAAAATGAAAGGTGTGGCGCGCCGATACGTATGGTGGCCGGGCATGGACGCCGAGCTGGAGGCCCTGGCGCGTGACTGCGTGGCTTGCATGGAAAAGCGCGGGGCACCACCGCGTGCTGAACTTCACCCTTGGGAACCGACGGACAGCTGCTGGTTCAGGGTTCACATCGACTTCGCTGGACCCTTCCAGGGCTCTTTCTTTTTGATAGTGTATGACAGCTACTCGCGCTGGGTGGAGGCAGTGCCGATGCGTGAGACCAGCACGGAAAGCACGGTGCGTGTTCTGCGCGAAATGTTCGCCAGGTTTGGATTGCCGGTCCAGGTGGTCAGCGACAATGGACCCCAGCTGACCGCCACTGCGTTCTCCCAGTTCCTGAACGCGAATGGGATTCGGCACATCAGGACAGCGCCGTGGCATCCAAGTAGCAACGGGGCGGCGGAGCGCGCAGTTCAAACCGTAAAGAATGGCTTGAAAGCTGCACTCAAGGACGGAGGAACGCTTTCTCAGCGCCTCCAGCGGTTCTTGCTGGCATACCGGGTGGCGCCACACGCGACCACGGGGAGGTCTCCAGCGGAAATGATGTTGGGACGGAACGTGCGAACCAACCTGGACCTCCTAAAGCCGGATGTGCATGTGCGGCAGCGCGAGGAAAAACTTCGCCAGTGGCAGGCCGGTAGGCCAGGTCACAACAGGCAGTTCTCGATCGGAGACCACGTCTGGACACGGGCCTACGGTGGACCGTCCAAGTGGCGGCGGGGCGTCATCACCGCCCGGACGGGCCCGCTGTCGTTCGAAGTGGACGTGGGGAGCGCGATCTGGTCGCGGCACGCCGACCAGCTGCGTCTGGCGGGCACCCAACAGGCTGCTGCAGCGTCCGATGGCGCGGAGGAAATCAGCCGGCAGCCGACGGTGGCAGCACCGAACCGTACTGGACAGGTTCCGGTGGCACCCACAGGGATTGGCGAACCACCGGTGACCATCAGACCGGGGGTCATCGTCGGGACAGGTGTGACCGGCGGGTCGGAAACGACGGTCAGGTCACCGGCCACAGACGGACCAGAGGCGACGGGCAATGATGCTGTGACAGCACCTGCTACCGCTACCGGTGGCAGCTCCGAGGAAGCGCAGGTAGCTGCAGGCGGCGACGCTGGTGCCGAGGAGGCGCAGGTCAGCAGAGGTGGCGGTGTGACCTCATCGGCGACAGGAACAGGAGCTGGATCAGCAACTGGAAGCATCGCTCAGCGTGTTTCCGCCAGGCAGCGGAAGCAGCCACGTCGCCTCATAGCCGAAATGTGACGGCGACACAAAGTCGTGTTCGAAGCGACTGGCTTTGCTTTGAAATAGTTTTAGACGGATGTTTAGTCTTATTTCGGCCAGTTTTTGTGTTGTCTGCTTCGCCACGACTGTCATTCCTGTTGAGGGGGGTAGTGTGTGGTGACGTAGCCCTTTGCCCTCTGAACTTTGTGCAGTAGACTAGGTGGCGCTGAGCTCGTTGCGCTTGTGGGTACGGTGCGGCCGTGCAGCAGTCGGGCAGCGGCCCCCGCCGGATACCGATCACCAATACAGGACTACGTTATTCAGAACGCTGTGTGAGATCGCGGACCGAGATCGCGGACCCGGAAGCTGGAACGAACTCAGCCGCGGATACTAGCGGCGCAACAACAACCATCGCGCAGCATTCCGATTCAAAACAATAAACATTAAAGGAAACAGTTCACTTTCCTGAAATTAGTATTTTGCTATTGATTTATGATTTTTTATGCTCAAAATGATCATGAAATAAAATAAAACCTTTTTGTAAAAACAATTTTTTTTCTATATTTTAATATAGGACGAACTATATTCTACGTAAAATAATGTTTGACGCGGAAGCTTATTACGTGTTGACCAATCATATCGCGTAGTTCAAACCTACGTATACTGCATTGGCTGTGAGCAGCATGCTGATTGGCTGACGATGACGTGTAGTGGTGTCAATTTCAGAAAACGTATGTCCAAAGTCCGTCCAATGTCCAATGCTATCGTCGATTGTCCGTCCAAAAATGTCCAAGCCAGCCATTTGTCCAAAGATGTCCGACACCTACGCAATAATTTACACTCAACACTGTTATTTCATTTGCTTATCATGTACCGCTACAAGCTCAAAAGTGTTCATCATATCGAAAGCTGAGCTTTCTAATAGCCAATCAATGTTAAACACGACTACTTTTTAAAAATGTTGAGGTGTAGCAAGCGATTGTCCAAAGTTGTCCAAAGCCTGCGGCCATTGTCCAACCGAATTCCGAATTGGACATTGGACAAAATCGGAATTCCGAAGATTCAAGTTCCGATTGACACCACTAATGACGTGGCTGCATTCCTGTGCAAGGCACACATTCCTCTGCAAGGCACTCCTTTCGGAACGAGAAATGGAATACTCGTATCTTCGTCTAGGGTGATCATTGAGCCGTAAAAGCTCCTGATTTGTGCTAGTCTCAGCTCAAGCTACGAAACTGCTATTCCAGTTCAAAACCCCATGTTAAAAGTGAACTATTTCCTTTAATAGTTGAATAAATCTGTTAATGCATATGTATTATGTAGTATATGTAGCACTGCAGCTTGATTCATCTATGCCTGGACACTGGTAGAAATAGGCAAAAAAATTAGGTAGACCGTGTCAAATGTAATAATCTTAAAAGAAAATACCTCTGTGAAAGTGTCCAGTACGCTCTGCGCCACCTCTGTCGTCTGGTTGTCGGATTAGTACCGTACACCGACGACAGATGGCAGGGCGGAGCCTGAGCGCCGTCCGCCCACAGGCTGCATCCTGTGACTGGCCTATACAGGAGCGCTCCTCTGCCTACGCAAAACCGAGCCCAGCTTTCCAGAACCGGACAGTTAACATGAACATAAATACACTATGCATCCATCTTCCCTGCCATCCGGTGGGAGGCAGATCTTAGGAATAGGGAAGCACCTCTTCGAAGTGACCCTTTGAGAGTTTTGTCTGGGTGCCATGTCGCAAGTGGGCACTCCCGTTTCAAACAGATTGACTCAGCTACCGCGGGTAGTGCGCCAGTCTGTGGTCGACGAAGCATAATGTCTTCATCTGATCATCTCATACCATGGCCCTGCAATGGTATCAGTAGACCGAAAAGGGCCTGAACAACCGAAACAAATTATATGATAACAAGATATCTTGCGCTCGCTCCGCGTCGCGTTGGCCATACAATGAATAAGGAGAAAGTTTTGGATCGATTGCTCATTTTCCCGTGAGAGTATATCGAATGTATTAACCTCATTTTTAGGTAAGGTATAGGTAAGTATATCAGGTGACTGATCTAACGCATATCAAGTGAACAGCTGCAGCCTAAACGGTTCAAAATGTCGATTATTTTTACCCATGCGAATGATATCCAGCATGGCTACCTTCGACCAACTTCCTGAGCTGAACTTCCATAGCCTTACGTCGCCTTGAGGTTGAACTCTAATTCAAGCCCTCCAAAAGTACTTCTTTTCGATGAAATTAATGGTGTGAAGTGCTTTAGCGAGGAACATTCTACGCGGAAAATCGAATCACATTGTCTGTCTTTATTTACTCATGTTTGGTTCAACCCACTAACTTCCATTGTCTTTTCCGTTGTCAACATCCTTCCATTTATCACTTTCTTCCTGTTCCCATCTGCCTCCCTTCTTCGCACTTCTTTCACCCCTCTCTCTCTCTCTCTCTCTCTCTCTCTCTCTCTCTATCTATCTCTCTATCTATCTATCTTTCTTTCTTTCTTTCTTTCTCTCTCTCTCTCTCTCTCTCTCTCTCTCTCTCTCTCTCTCTCTCTCTCTCTCTCTCTCTCTCTCTCTCTCTCTCTCTCTCTCTCTCTCTCTCTCTCTCTCTCTCTCTCTCTCTCTATTTCTCTCTCACTCTCTTTGTTTTTTCTCTTTCTGGCAAATGTAGGTACTTACCTCTCTACTTTGTTGCCTCCATTTATTTTGTAAAGTTAGGCCTTGAAATGTAATATTCTTATAACCACACTTAAATCATTGTTCATAGCAGGTTTGCTGTTACTTGTTAGGGTGCTTCCAAGTACAGCCTATATTTTGAATGCACAATTTATGTAACGAATTATAAAGTGATAAATGACGCATCTTGTTTCTCATATGACTCAAAAGGAGGAGATGAAAATGTGCATTTTTCATTCCTACATCCATGTAATTATAATCGGATAACCGGAATAGCCTATTATACCGATAACTGATGAACTGAATCTTCAGTAAACACAAAAATATAACGAATAAGCATTCAGTTTCTCATTTAATAAAATATGCACTGATAACCTGTAGCTTCAAGTTTGAGGACGCAGAAATATCATATTGACTTCTGCTATCGACGGCTGTCCATTTCGGAAGACACAGGTCGGTTTTCACTTTGTATTTCTTAGAAAGTGAAAATACACACACACCATGATGAGGGCTTAGATTTTCACGTTTGCCATCGACGCGACGTCTTCGGTCACTGCCGATGAATACTGATTAAGGCTATAGAAAAATATGCATCTACATTACCGAAATGAAAAGCGCCTATATAAATGAATCTATGCAACACGTAGATGAACTCACATCAACGCACCATTCCAACGCACCGTTCCAACGCACCATACGAATACATCATTCCAGCGCAGCATTCGAATACAACATTCCAACGCACCATTCCAACGCACCATGTCAGCGCAGCTGACCAGCGCCGCAGCACGCGGCTCAACTCTGCACTCTCACAGCGCCGCAGCAACGCACAAACTCATAAACTCACACTCAACAACAAAACATGGGCGCCCGGTCGGCCACCCCGCCTCCGACTCCGACTCCGACTCCGACTCCGACTCCGTGTGGGACTGCGGAGCGCGGCGCGGCGGTCTCTCAGAGTGAGTCAGTGGGCACGTAGCGCACGGTCGGGTAGTAGCCCTTGGCCCAGTCTGCCAGGTAGGTGACGATCTGAGTGCGGCCGTCGGGCATGTCCCAGCGGTACTCTCCCGTGATGATCATGCCGTCGCTGGTCTCCTTCTGGCTGAAGGCGTTGTCGGTCTCGTCGTCAGCGATGTCGTAGCCGAACTCGTAAGGCCGCGACATGTGCATCTGGGGAGAGGGAGGGGTGTCAGCGGTTAGTTGAGACAAAATTGAGCCGTTCGTAGCCGAACTCGTAAGGCCGGGACGACATGTGCATCTGGGTATAATAGTGGTTTGTCAGCGGTCAGTCCGGGCAAAATAAACCGCCAGTTTGTGCAAAAAGAAAGCTAAGATTACTGCTGGATGGAATTGATTATATTGAGCACAAGAATTATGAAAAATACTGGACGGACATAATATCCGGTAATAATGGGAAGCATATAAAAGTATGCAAGGATCAATAAAATAGCATCACCAAAACTCGTGCAATCTGAAAGCGTTGGGCCAAAAACGCCCTAAAGTTAACCCGCGCGGGGCTGGGGGGGGTAAATTTTACCCCCCCCCCCCTCGCGAATTTTTGCAATATCTCAAAAACGGCGGCGCGCAGCGCCGCCAAACTTTCAGTACCTTTTCTTACATCAATTTGACACGTTCCCTGAAAATTTGAGCGAAATCCGTCGGAAATTTTTTGAGAAATTGATGTTTTAGTGACGTCATGTTCGCCATTTTCGCCTCAAAAACGGCAAAAGTTCAAACGCCGCTCACATCTTCATTTTTAAAGGAATCAAGACGTAACAAAAAAGGTTATACGTAATTCTTCTTTGTCTATCAAATGGCTATCTCGGTTTTTGAAAATTTTGGATTTTGGCCCAATTTTTTTCTTCAAAAAACTGACTTTTTTGGGAAAATAATTATAAAATCCAAAATTTTGAATGTATCGAAAAAACCGGAATATATGTCAGAGAAGTGGTCTATGTGCACCTACATACCAATTTTTAGAAGAATCGGTTCAAAAATGTGGGAGTTATTCAAGATTTTATGACGTCACGACACACAAAAATTTTGATAAATGATTTTTTTGGAAGTTCTAGACCTTGTACGGAAACAAAAATAGCACCATTCGATTTGCCGTGAAAAACTGCATCAGATAGACACCTTTTTAGGCCTTAACAACCAACTTCAAAATTTGACCTCACTTGACCTGACCTTGACCTG